GGATAATTATATCCTAATTAATATTATATAGGAGATTGCATATATAATATAATCTTGATTTATAAACGCAAGCAACATTAAATCATGATTTGCAAAAGCAGCGCGCATTTTCTCATCGCTACAGTGCAACTAATTTAACGTTATATCACAGCTTGCGTCAGATCCGTCTAGTGCCAGCGACTGACAATGAGATACTATCGTTAAAATGAATGCTATTTGCATGTAAATCGAATCGACTGATGACTCGATCTTTAAACAACTGCGGAAAAGCTTCATTAGATGAGTATGAGAGTGCGTGTATTTCTGTTGATTGTGGGACACACATTGAATTCTATCCCGTTTGACGTAGAAATTACGCAAGAGAATTACAAATTATGCAAGATACACAGTAGACAAAATCTAGTTCTCTTGAACTAACAACACGCATTTTTATATCAAATATTTAATCTGCAATATATCGTGGAGAAACGTTCAATTTATTCGCCTCATTTATTCCTCATAAAAAATAATTAACATTACTAATTGCTAATATTCATAATCAATTTTGTGATGTAATTGCTATCTAATCACTATATAACAAAAAATTTTAGAGTTTGTAAAATATATAATCTAGCTACAGTTTTAAATTGGTCAATAGATTCAAATTGTCATTTTATTTTATAAAAAAGTCTACCTATCGCAATTGACTAATATATTAAGATATAAGTTTTACATTTTAATTATTAGGCGGTCACTAAACAGACTTTTTTATTATGAAAGAATCTGACAAAGACAGTAAATAACAAATGGTAAATTGTTCGTAAAATTGTTGGTAAATTGTTGGTAAAATGTGACATATTTAAATTCTCACTTTTATAAAAATTGTTAACTTTTAATAACGTTATTTAGAGCCTTCTTCATCAATCTCTTGTTAAGCTGATCAAACAGTTAACTCGCAGTAGCGCCAATAGTTATGTTCGAAAAGAGGAAGAGAGAGGAAAAGACGTGATACATTGTTTTTAACATTACTGTGAATTAACTGTCGGTTATTATTATAAAGATAATAAAAAAAGAAAAAACACTTGAATAAAAACATCGGCGCATTCAATTTGCTTTGGCAAATATTATTTTATGTTCTTATTTTCTAGGTAGATATAATATTTAATAGTAATTTTTTATTAACAATTATATAAATTATAACTATAATACAAAATTAACTTTTTACTTTTTTAATTCTTATTATTATATTTACTCTATATAAGATAAAATGGGACTATTCTGCTTCAACTTTAAAGTATCTAAAATAGTATCTAAATATCTAGTTACTGTATCCATTGGGTATATATCCATATATTGCACTATTTCATTACAGATAATTATTTATATTAAAAAGATTATCTAAAAAGTATTTCAGAGCTAGCTAATGTGTATTATGTGGATTGTCGGTACTGATTAAGTAGATATTATTTTTAATAAATATATTATTTAAAAAGCTTGTTAAAGCGAAAAAAAGAAAAATTTTATAGTTTGTGATTACATAAATAGTAAAAATAAATATAGCTTTTTATTACAATTTTAATTGAACAATAAGAGTATGGAAAAATATAATTTATAAAACAGTGCTTTTTTTTTTCTTTTGTATAAAAAAATATTTTTATTATATTAAATTTTATTGTATTATTTTTATTGTATTAAATAATATTTTTAGAAAATTATATAACCGTGCTGAATAACATATATACTCGTAGATACGTATCAATAATGTAGCAGTGGCGGTCCGCAATACATAAGATGACCAATTAAAAAGTCAAGAGTTTCAAGTCAGGTTCAAATCCTACTAGATGTAAAAGAACTTTCAAGATACAATTTAAATTTTTACATATTATGATTAAATAGTACACAAAATTTTTAGGAATAGAAAATAACCATTCATCTCTTAAGAAGAATACAATAAAAAAATGTAATAATAATAAGTACATAGAAATTCTAATTAATAAAAATTATCTAGAGATTCTAATTAATTTAAATTATCTATTAGATAATTTTCCTGATACAGAATTCTCAATTATAAAACTGTCTTGGGATTAGATGGAGAAGAAAAATGACAATAAAGAAGATAAATGTTTTATTTTATTTTTTTTTTTATTTTTTATTTGCTATTTAGTCGCTGTGTCCGATCTAGGATAGACTACTTACTAATTAATTTTTTACCCCTAGCTTTAATTAATTTTTTTATATAGCTACTAGGAGAAGCGTTACATTACCGATCAACTGACTAAAAACTAAACAACAGTTATGTAAGACACAACAACTTTTCTATTTCATGACGAGATAGACATAAGGTTCAAGTAGTGGAGTCTATCAACGTTGTTGTTACACTTTCTGTTGTGCTTCTACATCGATTAGGACGATGTCCATGATGTCCATGATGAGGAATGGATTCCTTCACACAGAATAGAACTTTGTTATTTTTCAGAAATTTATCGATAAACGATCATGTTTAAATTAAGACTTACAGATCCCTGGAACATTGCACACACTACTATCATCAAGACCAAGAATACCACTGATAGTCTCATATTGCAATCTTGCACTGCTACTGCTTGCACTGTAAATGTTTACGTCGCATCACGTCGTAGCAATATTTATATCGGTGAATAATGATCTATTTGGTAAAAATTGACAATGAATAACGGTAATCACGTCTGTTTTGCCATTTGTATAGCCCATTGTCAATTATGTTCCTTTATGACAAAAATAATTATTTTACAAAACATGGGTGTGTTTCGCATTCTTCCAAGCATGTGTCACTGATAAGAGATCACGTATGTAGGCGAAAATGACGTCCGACAAGCATATTTAAACGAATTCCAGTGTAATAGAAAAAAATATGATATTCAAAACTCTAAAAAGAAACAAAGACTAGTCAACAGCATTCAACAGTATCAAGTGCCCTGTTTACGTTGTTTTGATTGTGGGGAAAAAGCCAGCTTTCCTTCGCTGCATGAAATTGCACCTTAATAGAAAAAAACATGATAATCAAAATTGTGTACCATACGTAGGAACGCGATCATTGTGCGTGACTGTGAAGGACATGTGTCATAATCGACGAATTAGAGCCATGATACGCAAAAAAACTTAAACAGTAAAATGTAAGCGAATTAATCAATCATTTTCGAGACCGTTATATCATAATATAAGCATCAGTAACCCATTCAATATGTTGATTTTCTTACTGCTTACGTTTTACTGTTTAAGTTTTTTGTGTGATATGGTCCTTAAACCTCGTCTACAATGAACAGTAGCAGTAGTGAATTAAAGAGTAAGCGTAGAAATCAATCAATTATGGTCGATTGATGAGGAGGATAATCAACTATGATCGGTCGATTTCTATGCCTACTCCTTAATCCACTGCTATTTCCCATTATAGATCACGCATTGAAGCCTATGACACAAAAACATAATGCAGTAACACGTAATCACAGTAAAAATCGTAATGCGTGGTTTATATACATTGGGCTGTAGTAGTAGAGACTTTTAGTCTGAGAGATTATTTGCTTTGAAGCAATAGTGTAACTTTCTCTGAACAAAATTTCATAATAAAATGATTTTATCTTTTATTTTAGATGTTAAAAACGAAATAATACATATATATTTACATATTTACATATGATCTCGTTTCCTCATTTGTATTCTCCATCGCAAATATAATTTTAAATACCCTAATACATATATTAGATCTACAAATAAGTTCTGACTTCTCTGAATTAGCTAACTGTATCTTTATTATAAATTCAAATCTTTTTTTTCCGCTACTTTGGGAATTCGTGGTACTAACCTTTATGATAAAAAAAAAACTACGCATGAAAACCTTGCTAGACGACATACTCTCACAAACCTTAAAAGTGAACACGATGTCGTCCAAGTAAGACATTGTATTCTGTTCACTTTTCAATTAAAAAAAAGTATTCTCGAAGCGGAAGAAATTATTTGTTCCGTTTTAGGAGAAAATGCGGTGTCTGAAAGTACGTTCAAAAGGTACTACAAAAAATTTCGAACGGGTAATTTCGATCAATATCGTTCGAGAGCATCAAAAAAAGTTGAAGACGAGAAATTAAATCAACTTGCAAGAAAATCCTTGTCAAAAGAAATTTGCTGAATAACTGGGTGTCACTCAACAAAAAATTTCCCATCGATTGCAGAAGCTGGAAAGAATACAGAAGGCTAGTCATTAAGTTCCGCATGTGCTCAGTCCAGAAAACAAAGCGAAACGACACAGCAGTTTGCCTATTGTTAAGATTTAAGTAGAAGGATTTTCTGTTTAAAATCATAACTGGTGATGAGAAGTGGATTCTATACGAGAACCCTAAAAGAAAAAAATCATGGGTTTATTCTGGAGAACCGTCAACGTCAATTGCAAAACCAAATATTCACTCAAAAAGGTATTGTTATGCATTTGGTAGGATGTGAAAAGTGTACTATATTTTGAGTTGCTAAAACCTAAGGAAACTGTACCATCTGAGCGTTCAACAACAATTGATGCGTTTAAGTGACAAAATCGAATGAAAATAATTCTATATCGGCCAGGGAACTCGTCAGGTGATACTGCTGCACGATAACGCATGGCCCATTCGGCGATAGCAACCAAAGAATTAATCTATAATTTGAGGAAATTCTCCATCATGCGGCAGATTCTCCAGATATGACCCCTAGAGATTTCCACCTCTTTCATTCTCTACAGCATCATATCTCGTTGATACGCACTTTCAAACATCCAAAGAGATCGAAAATTTCATAATCGAATTTATTAAATCTTAATCACCATCGTTCTTCCAAGCAGGGAAGCGCCAGCTGCTCGAGAGATGGCAAAAGTATGTCGAAAATGATAAAGATTATTTTCAAGACATGTGTTTCGGTTTTTTTATAAATAAATATTAATTTTCTGTAAAAAAAGAATCAGAACTTAT